TTTTTTTTTTTTATACCAGTATGTTCCTTACTGAGTTTGGTGCATATCTTTAAGATGTTTGAAACTCCTCAAGTTTCTAGTAGAAATGCTTAAGAAACTCATCCTCTGCCCCTTAGTTCTGGCTTTTTAAAAAAAAATGTAAAAGGCTGTGGTTCTGACCAAGGCATGCAACCACGAAGAAAAAGAAAAAAGTGTGTAGTTCTAATTTTTTAATCTTAATATATAAGTGGCATTTGTAATTTATCCATGTTAAAACAGAAATAAGACAAATATGCATATTACACAATTTTCTGCTCTGAAGGCTAGTACTAAGCAGTGAGACTAGTACTAAACAATGAGTCAGAACTTCAAATAACGAGAGTTCTGAAAGCTTTTTGAAGGATAACAGAATGTTGAAGATTCTTGTTTCTTGTTAGACTCAGATAGGCTCTAACTTACTTGTGGAGCAAATTTCCAGGGACTGCGCTCATTTATAGTAGGCTCCCTCCAGCTGCTTATGGGCTGCCTCATAGCCTAGAATAACCATAGTGCAAAGCACTACAATCCTAGAATCCCACCCCCAGAATCAATGTGGACCTGGACTTGCAGGCTACGGGTGCCATCATGGAACATGTCAGTCCTAAAGTGGGCAAATTAGAAGGGCCTCTATAACCTCCCAGCTAGATACTATGCAGGCCACTAAAAAGGGGCCAGAGTGAGGGCCAGGATCTTTCCCAGTGTGCTTTCACGTGCATTAATGTCATCAACATAAAGGATATCTGAAAGGCTTAGGTGGTAGATTGGGAATGCATGTTAGAAGTGGGAAGGAGTAGGGGAATAGCTGCGTGACTGAAAGTTGGTCCACTTCTGGCCCATGAGGAGTCTTGAGGTCCAGATTCAGCCCAAGGAGAGCAGGTAAGTTTGGCACCCCTGCTCAAGAGAGATTTTTTTTTTTGAACTTTTTCGTTTGGAGGACTCGGTCTACTGCTCTGTCCCAGACAGTAGTCTCTACTAAGTGGATAACTGGTTTTCTCCTGGACAGCAGTCTTTATGTTCTTAGTAGAAAGCAAGAGCTGCAAATGCTATCTCAGTATTATGTTTTTAATAATTTCCTTACCCAAAAGCATACAGATAACAGCACAATTTGTCATATATCGCAAACAGAACAAGAGAAGATTCAGTTTAGTGGCAATGGAAGTGAAACCATTACTTGTGGATGAAGAGGATTCACAAAACATCTGACTCTTGTTGTTTTTGCTACCATTTACACCTTGAGCTTGAACACTTTTCACAGAATAAAATCTGTTTAGAGACAAAACTCATTGTTAGAGGCATTCTTGGCAACAGTGTGGACTTATACAAATAAAAATTGTCTACTGTATTGTATGTGGCAAGATGACACGTTTTCTTCTAAAGTGTCCCTGCTGCAGAGCACTCAGGTGCCCTGCACCTGAGAGCAGAAAAGCCTCAGGAGAGGCCCCTAGTGGCAAGAAGGGGGAGGCTCAGCTGCCAGTTACCAGGGCAGCCAGAGTCGCAGGTGCTGGTTGCTAGGACAACCACTGGGGAGCCAGCTGACAGGAAGGGGCAGGGCCTGGCCCTTCTTAAGCCCCAGGCATGAGGCCAGAAGGGCAGTTCCCCTCTGGCAACCAAGGGAAGGGGAGCTCGGCCAGTCAGACAGAGGGGAGAAGCCCGACTGCATGAGCATCCCCTGATTGCTGCTGTGGGTTGGAGTATTTCCCGGTAGGGATTGACTGTTGTTTGGCCGGACAGTTTAGCTTTTTATGTTATAGCCTGGGGGCTCTGTGTTTTTGTGTTTGCTGTTTTGACCAGAGGACTGGGTCAGGCTATTAGTGGTTGGTGGAGGCCTCAGAGAGGCTCCACGGTAGCGTGGGGACCTTCGCGCCAGAGAGGGCATATGATTTGGGGTGCATTGACCCCAGCCCCAGAGCAAAGGGTGGTGGCGAGGAGCCCCAGAGCAAAGGCCAAATCACAGCAGGGCCCAGGTCGAAACCATGTTGGTACCATCTGCGAGGCTTGGGCTGCAGTGTAGGGGAGGAAGAGGATTTGCAGATAGCGCCGCCTGGCACTGGGGCACACAAAGTGGGCAGCCTCCTCTTAATTGCATCAATCAATCAAGATCAAGGCATAGCAGGTGAGTAAGCAGGCGGTTGGCTTATACCAGGAGGGTGGAGTCACCAATAGAAAGGCTCCAGTAGCAATACTCCTGCCACAGTCCCCAAATTACTTTTATTCACTGTAGTCTTCTGTGGCGCTAGAGCAATGGGTGCTCTAGGAATATTTAGAATAGCCAATATCAGGGTATAGTCCATATTGTAAAGTAACTCGGAAGCAAGTTGGAAGAAGCCACTGTAACTGTTCAACTATTCCTTAATCTAAGAAGCTTGGCAAAATGCAGTGCAAGTGAATTATAAATACTAAATACAGTCAAAATAAAACTTTGGTTAGTCTCTGGCATTTGTCTGGTTTTCTTCCATGTTTTAAATGGGGGGAGATATGTATATATTAGACACATGTATGTAGCTTAATAGTAACATGGGAGGTTAAAGACAGGATCAAAAGCATCCTTGTTCCATGAGTCTTCATAAGGCCTACAGACTCTTCAGGTCACCCTTTAAGCCCTCAAAATAGGATGTTGTTTCTCACACAGGACCAAATTTCTCCCACATCAAAAAAGAACATAACTTTTAGATGCCTTTGAGCTTTCTTAGTACTGAAGCCAGATTCTGGCTATTACATGTAATACCATATTGACTCAAATCCGAGACAAGGTTTTTCCTGAATCACCATGAGGGGGGAAAGCCTTTCTTAGGGCAGGCAACAGCTCAGTTCTAGCTTCAGTCCTGGGCTTAGAGCCAAAACCAGAGCCAAGCCACTGCTTGTCCCATAGGGATATGTGAAACCGACCATATTCAATTTGGATTCAGATTCAGCCCAAATCGGGGACAGTGATTCGATTAGTTGATTCAGAGAATCAGCGATTCGGCCACTGACAGCTCTAAATGTTTTTTCTAAATAAGGTACCAGGTGCGGCTCATGAACGCTGAGATGGTGGGGCGGCTGGAACATCCCACAGGAGCACAGTGAGGGCCCCCCCCCCCCC